TAAACAGGACTTGAAACACATTCAGGAGATGTAGCAATAAGAGCATGCTGCCTTGAATATCCCAAGAGTATTCAAAATTCTCAAAAGCTGTTCTAACTAGCCTCAAGGAAAAAGGGGAGGTAAAGTGGGAGAAAGTATTGCACTATGTCTTCTCCATAGATTGGGTGTGATTATTAATCAATTCTGAGAGATGCTGTTCAAGATACAGGCATGACAGCAATGCCACGTACAAATACCAGCTTAACCTCATGACGAGAGATGTTGTTATATCATAAGTCAATATCACACGGTACAGCAGAATGAGAATCCTGACCTGTCTCCTGGAGGTGATACACAGTGCTGCAGGGAATACCTACAGCAAGTAAGGATTTACTAACACAACCATGTGAACAAACAAAACACCATTGTGACCAGTGACTATTTAATATAATAAATGTGTATAGCAACTTTGTTTTAACATGCTCTGGTCAGTTCTGTCATTGTATCAACCCTTTGTGCCCTGTGTTGGGTGCCAAAAAGGATGGTTGTGGTTTAGCCCCAGCCAGCAGCTGAGTACTACTTGGCTGCTCATTCATTCACTTCCCCCCCTGGTGGTATGGGGAGGAGAATTGGAAGACAAAGGTAAAACTTGTGGGTTGAGGTAAGGACAGTTTACTGGCAAAGGGAGAGGAAAATAAGAACAACAGTACTTTGTAACAGAATATGCAAAGTGGGTGATAGTGCAGTTTGCTCATTGCATGGAGCCTGATGTCTAGCCCCTCCTCCCTGGCCAGTTTTGCCCCTTATAAACTGAGCATGAAGTCATGGTATGGAATACCACTTTGGCTAGGTTGGGTCAGCTGTCCTGGCTGTGACCCTCCTAGCTTCTTGCAAAAATTAACTATATCCTAGCCAAAACCCAGGACAAATGTACAGCTGTTCAGAAGCTTATGTAGCAGATCTATTTTGCCATGTATTAACTTGGAGAGGTGCATCAGTTTCTTTTCTAGTTTTTTGTAATGCAGCTCTTTCAGAGTACAATCAGCCATTAATAAGGTAATTGGTTGAGTTTTATTGAATTGACAGACTTTGCAAAAATAGATTAGGTTTTGATTCTTTTTCTCTTCCAAAATGCAAACAAATTCTGTTACTTAAGTCTGGAAACTTGCAGTGTGAATCAGTCCAACAAGCTAACAAGCTCAGTTTCTTGAGTGCATGAACTGTCAAAGTGCTCCTAAGAGGTAAAATTTAATTGGCAAGAAACTCAACCTAAAATTAGGACTGGCTCTGACTTGTAAGAGTGTGGGGCAAAGAGAAAGCTTAGAGAGGAAATAAGAACAGTACTATCTCTCATGGAAAAGGTACAATATATTTTATAAACTGTTCTCTTAGTTCTGTGGATAAGAATAAAAGTACTTTTTTTCTTCCATTCTCTCCTTAGTAGCTAACTTGCAAAGTAAGCTTGATTCTTACTTAATTTAGTATTTAGGGTACCTACCTGTAAAACGTTCCACAACTCTGATTCATAAGTTCTATATAGTTGAGAGGTTTTTTTTTTTATTCTGCCAGTCTTTGATTCTACTGCTTTCCATACAATTACAGTGACAAAGATAATTGTTATCTGAATAACGTAGTAGTATGAGACTGATCTGGTGTGGCAGTACAGTCTCTGAATGTAGCACTAGTTTTCAGAGTATCTGTCATCTGTAAGCCTACAACATTGCATGGAGCACTATTACCTGAGTGTTACTGGTAGTGAAGAAGACTAGTATAAAAAAAAAAGTAAAGGCACTTGGTAGGTGTTGTGAGCGGGGTGGGAAGAGAAGAATTGTAAGTTCATTTCCTTGATCATAGTTCTATTTTTGCTACTTTTGCATGTGTCTTAGTCTTATATCATACTGGAAAAAGTCTGTATCTCAGAGCAGACTGTTGCTTTCAATCATATATATATATTTTCTCCTTTATTTCGCTAAATTGTGTTCCTGACTTTTAGACTGTAACACTGATTTCAACTATTGAATGCATTTGATTGTTGTAGTGTAAGATTTCACTTGCATTTCCATGATAGTGCAATTGTGCTTTACAGTAGTTGTAGGTGAAGGTTTAGTTCAAGAGATTTTTGAAATATGCACAGTGGCTGCTGGGCCTTTCACCATTTAATCTTGAGACAGTGCAGTCCTCAGGCATGTTTCACAGTTCACACTTCATTGAAAGAACATATCCTATTATTTGTAACCTTTATTTCTACAAAGCTTCTGTTGAAATGCTGTCTATGCCTCCTCATTTCCTTACCTCCCTTTCATACTCACCTTTTGTGTTAGACCCACATGCTTTAACTGCGGCATCTATTATTTGCTAAGGATTCTTGGCTGATGTGTTAGACTTTTTAGTTAGAAAAACATTCTTTACTTGCTAGAATGAATATGTTTTAAAAAAGTTCCATGTAAATGATTCAGTCATCTTTCTATCTGTTCCTTTAGAATAAATTAATGTGCTTATGTAGATGTGATGTTGAAAAGAAACAGGATGCTTACTTGAGGGAACAAAGTCTCTAGCTTTTCACTGTCTAGTTTCTAGCTTCTTCAGGAGGAAACCAAAAGGGTAAAATGCTTGAAAATGCTGTATTAAGATGGTCATGTTGTCATATGCTGACTCTGAAGATAGCATTGATTCTTTTCCAGAGGGATGTAGATCAGGAAAATGATGTTCTCAGAGAAGTAGAAGCTGTTGAATTTAGGAAAACTGGAAAGAGCAAACAAAATAGAAGTCTGTTAAGACTGAGGGTTTGAGAACCTGTTTGCTAAGTGCCTTACAACCTGAAAAACCTTGCACATCAAAAGTGAGAGACTTACCAGAGTCACTAGGGCTCAGAGGGATGTGAAAGGGCACCCAGGAGAAGTCAGATCATGTAGTAAAAAATAAGTGAACTAATTGCATTGCTTTTTGTCAGAGAAGGGCTTAAGAGGCTTCTCACCAGAGCTTTCTTTGACTCCAGGCAACTGTCATTTTAAATTTCAGTAAGGAATGTTTAAATCCATCAGCAGAATAACTGTTGTACAGCCATGTCTGGTGGTATATGCTGAAGAATTCCAGAGGAACTTAACCATGAAACCACATCATATGGTTTGAACTTTAAATGATTTTTGATTATTTAGCTCTTGTGCTGTTGTCCCATGCAAACTGAAGCATTAAATGAAGTGTTGCCTTGCCAGTGCAAGGTAGAAAGCTGACTTAGAAAATACATCAGGGAAGGAAATGTAGACTAGTGATGGGTGGTATTCTTTTGAGTTTTTCATGATGTGATTAAGAATTGCAACAGTGTTAATCATCTGAACAGAAGCTCAGTGGGGCATTGAAGTGAGAGAGTGCTTGTGGGCTTGCTGTTTTTCTGACCTTGCTGACACACCAGGGGCTGCTTTTGAAAGACTGTGCTGTGTATAGTAGAGGCCACAGTGTGATCCCTTCTATTCTCCTCCTTCCCTAACCCTAATATGGGATGGCTACTGTAAACACATTTTTTTTCCAGGAATGTCTGGATCTTCTGGAGTAGTTGGATGGGGTTGATACCATAACAAAACAGAAGTTATTTGTGTGATTAAACATAAAGAAAGGGGCCAGTGCATGCTTTGTTAAAGGTAGTTGTGTCTCGCAGGTCTCATTTTCTTGAAGGATTCATTGTTAATCCTTATTCATGTGGCCAGTCTGATAACACAGAACTGTTGGATTTTTTCAGAAGAATGTTTCTGAGATTCTTTTCTGAAGACTTTGTAAAAACTCAACAGTCACAGACTTGCTGGGCTTATGGGTTAACTGCTTAGAAGTAACCAAAGGAAAGAATAAATTATTTACTTTATAATAAGGGAAGGTTACCAGTAGAATTACTCAGCTCTGCTTCATATATTCATAAATACCTGGAGGGAAGAAATGAATGAGAAAAGGATAGAAAGGATAATAGAAAGCTACAGCTGACTGCAGACAGTCACAGTGGGAGTTCATTCTCCATTAGGTTATAAAATTGCTGATAAAATTAAATTCTAGTAAATATGGAATCATGAATCTGAAGAAAAATAATTCTGGCTGAATATACCCAGTGGGCGGGCTTTATGTCGGTGGTTATTGTTCAGAAAACACCTTGAAGGTCCTTTATAATGGTTTCTTTTAAAGAGCAGCTGTATGTTCAGATATCCTCAAATAGCAGGGGTTTTTTTGCAAAGATATGGACGATAAAATGAAAACAGATGTGTGTCATGGACTGAATGGTGTAATTATGTATTGACTGTGCATTTCTGGCCACCTGTCAGAAAACATGGTGCAACTGAAAACAAACTGAAGAAGGTTAGCAGTGATCAAACTTTGGACCTGATCCTGAGGATTGCTAGCCTGAAAAAGAGTTTGTGAATAGAGACAAGTGGATATGAATTGAGAGCCTCAGAAGTGTTTCATTTGGAGATGAACTACCAGTAATAACTTTTTCCTCCTCAAGAAAAAGAGCATTAGATAAAATCATTAACAGGCAGCAGTTTAAAATAAAGCAGTTATGTATTATGATGCATTCTTGAATTCTCATAGAATGCCATGAATTACAAAAGCATAAATGGACTAAAAAGACCTGGAAAAATCAGTGGAAGAAAAGTCCTTCGAGCTAATACACATTATGGTTAGGATCCACCCCAAAAGTATGCCAAATGAAATTACTGGACACTTGGAAGGATTGCTGCAAGGGAGTTGGATAAATGCTTTGTCTTTTCTTGCTTTCACCCTGTATCTGGCTACTGCTGATTTTTATAAGCAGGACAATGTGGAGTCTTCAGTTTGGCCCCACTGCTGTTAGGTGTATTCAAGTATTTTCTTCATTGGTCTTGTCATCTTAGGGAAAATAAAAGCATATTTTCTAGAAACAAAATAAAAAAGTAGCATGTTAGTCTGTATTTTCTGTCTTGCTCTGAATTTTTGAAATCGGCTAGATTGATCAACAAATTAAAATGTTTAGTTAAGTCTGCTGTGTAGTTAAATATTCAATTATGGATCCAGGCCCAGTTTACGATAAGAGAAAGGGCGAACAGTAATTCTAAATATGTTGCTTTTTAGAAGTATTTTTGTGCTTTACTGCTAAAATCTCTTCATGTATTGAAAGGAATTCTGACACTTAAAAATTGGGCATATGGTCTGTTGGAGGCTATCTGTTACAGTGCGAATTCTCTACTAAAATGAGTTGCGAAAGTCTCAGAGTTAAGAGTTCTGCTAGAGATGTGTAAAATTTTCCTTTTGGAAGGCTGTGTTAACTAAGGGTTGACCATGGTTGTTTGTTTGTGGTGTGGTTTTTTTTTTTTAAGGACAGTAATTAGATCTCACTACAATGTTGAATTGATACATTTCTTGAATTAGAAATCTTACAAATATGTCAACATCAAAAAATTCTTTGTAAAATATCACAGCAGTAATGATTTGCATTTTTTTGCTTGGCATGGCTTGATGGCTTTCCGTTGAAAGCAAACAACATTCACCTGAAAACTCGAATTGGTCTTTCAAATTTGGCAGCGAGTGTTCTGTAGTATTGGGAGACGGGAAACAAAAGGACTTAACAGGTGTATAAAGATCCAGTGTCAGAACTCCTCATGTAACACTAATATTAATGTGCTTTACACTTGAGAATATATTTAACACTTCTCACTTTGAGTAGTTCAGTTGGAAGGTCACTTCCTATATGCATGAATGGCTAATAAAGGGCTTGAATGGTCAAAGGAATCCCTGTTTGTCAAAGTGGACATTTTCATGTCAAGGAATACTTACGTGTCCCTTTTTATTGCCCTATACAAAAACCATTAATGCCAGTGCCTTTTTCCAAGTCTGTGTAAGCTTCCACCTATGCAGAATTAAGAACCCCTGGAAGAATAAACCTACTTGAAGATTTTTTTTTTCTTGTCCTGCTTCACATTTGGATCATTGCGTAGTTTTTAAGACTATGCTTTGGTTTTGAAAGAAAATAATCCTTGAATTTGACCTTCACTGTTGAGCCAGTAAGAAGGTTAGTAAATGTCTACTAGTTTTTGTGTCTGGTGTCTTGACATTTTCAGCATTTAGGTAATGTAACAAGGGCTGATGTGTAGGTATTGTTGAGATTACTGTGAGGTGCTGCCATGAAAATCAAGTATGAACGTATCTGTCCCAGATCCCAAATCCTTCAGTTTCCCATATGAAAGTCTAATTGTTCTGACATTCATCTTTCTTGAAAGTACCGCTTGGTTAAATGATGATGTTAAATTAAACTTATGGCCTATTTTTGTTGAAATATATCATAATAGTTAAATCATCGTTAGAACTGATGCTACTTTCTCCTTTAGACTCCATGAAGAAATAATTGACTTCTATGACTTCATGTCCCCTCGTCCTGAAGAAGCAGCTATGAGAAGAGAAGTGGTGAAAAGAATAGAAACAGTCATCAAAGATCTTTGGCCTACAGCTGACGTGAGTGTAATTTAAGTGTTGATTTGCTTCTCTAGTAAATTGTAGAGCTCTGTTCACTTAACCTTGCTATTATCTTTCTATGTTTTAGAAATGAACAGATAAGATGTCAAAATTAAGGCAATTGACTTAATATCACAGCTCTTGCAGTACTTGGCAGTTTATTTTAAAAAGTGGAGGAAGTTTAAAACCTAGACTTCAGGTTAATGAAGGCTATTGATAATTTTTTCATTTTGAGAACTGGGGATGTGAAGAACTGTCCACTTTAAGTGCATTTCTTAAAGTAAAAGCTTATTAAATTGACTGTCTCTGCATAACTTCAGTTTGAATATTAAATGATACTGACTACCTATGTATCTATTTCTGCAAGGAGTCCTGACTCTGTGGATATTTGTAAATATAAATATTTTACAAAAGAACAGTTAAAGCTCCCAGATTTTTTTTGTACTCTTCACAAATTTGACATTTGGGAAATTACTTTAGCCCTGCTTTAATGGGAAAATTGGACTTGACTTCCTGAGATAACTTGCACTGAAGTTGTATTTTTCAAACCCTTTATTACCCCAAGAGTAAGTTTCCTTCAAACAAAAAAACATCCAAAAGGAATGTAATGTAAACTGTATTTTTAGCATCACATTTCTGATTACCACGTAATAGTGTTGTCATTAACATGCAGAAAAACATTTCAACCCACTGTGATTTCATAGCCTTCCATGATGAAGTGTGAGGGCTGTGGCCACAATACTGAGCAGAAGATACTGTAAAGCTCATCTACTTTGTCCTCACTTGTGATTTTTCTTAGTAATAACTTCTGTTGAACTGGAAATAAACAGTGAAAAGGACTCTGCTGCTAGCAGGATTGGTAGTCATTTAATGATTAAAAAACCCCACACAATCTTCTCTAAAGTTACATCTATAAGTGAAAGTGTATTTGTACAGGCTTAACAGAGTATGTAGTAAAGTAAATTCAATAACTTTTTTACTGGGCTGTATCCTTAACAGATCCAGAAAAATCTTTAAGTCTTGTGAAAGTAAAATTAAGTGAGCATTCATAATTGCAAGATATTTCACTGGTGTGGGTTTTTTCCAGGTCCAGATATTTGGCAGCTTTAGTACAGGGCTTTATCTTCCAACCAGGTAAGTGATAATTTACTTTATATAAGCTTGTTGTATTTTAAGAGTAATGGTAAATTTCAAAGGGGAATTTAGACTGGAATTTGTAAACCTATCAAACTTACAGTAGAATTTTAGCCTAATGTCCTATGTGACAAAGGGAAGAGCTTTTGAACTTACAGATGTGAGATAAGTATTTGATATATCATTGTACTTTTCTAGGTACTTACTGACACTTAGGTGAATTACCTTTTCTTCCTTGCGTTTGGGGTTAGTCTTTGGTTCTTTGTTTTCAAGACACAGTGAATGTTTAGTATTCCCTATGTAAAGATCATATTTTAAATAAGGTGAATTATAGAGAGTGTGTCACTTATCACAGAGTTACTGTGCAAAGTCAGAGGAGTCATCACAGCTGCGTTTTCCCACTTTTTTGAGAGCAAAATGTCTTTTAGTTTATTGTTCTATATTGCTTAATGGTTGAGTAGATGGACGCGGAAAACCTGTGTAGCTGTGTCTTAAAGACTATATTGTCTTTACATTAATTAAATTTTCAGTAGGAAAGCACTGGAAATTTCATTTCCATGAATAACAATCACTGATAAAAATTATTTGAACTATTAACATGCCTGTCAACATGGGTAGGTGAGGGATGGAGTTAGACTGTGGAAGTCAGGGGAGGGAACATGAAAGGTAAAAGGGAGAGGAGCTCAAAGAACTCATCAAAGAACTGGAAGCAAGAAACTAGAATACTACCTTAAGTCCTAAAGCACACTAGACCATCTCTTACTTAGCATTGCTAAAGGAAGCTTATTGGGAACCTAGATTAAAAGTTGCAAAATAGTCACCCTGGAGGACTTGTAATATGTAGAATGCCAATTTTACCTTTTTTTGTGTGTGTGTGAAGTATTATGCTTTAGACTTAACGGATCTCATGCTGTGTTCTTTTTGTCTAGTGATATTGATCTAGTTGTTTTTGGGAAATGGGAACGGCCCCCTTTACAGCTGCTGGAGCAAGCACTAAGAAAACACAATGTGGCTGAGCCATATTCCATTAAAGTACTTGATAAAGCTACGGTAGGTAATAGTCTTTGGACTACTGAACTGAAAAACTTTCAGATCCTTTAAGGTGTTGGTGATAAATAGTGTTCTTAATTCACGAAGCAAATGATACTGTCTTAAGCACAATGTTTTGCTCTGTGTGAGCTTTTAGTAGAATCTGTATATGCTTAGGAATAGCACATACATGGACAACAGTAATTCTGTGTACTGTATTTGCTGGAATGTCATACTTTATGCTTATGTTTTCACTAAAGGTCTGCAAGTCAGTGTGTTGGGTTTGCCTGGCAAGGTTTTGGT